TCCTTTAATGGCCGCTCCGTGAAGAAGAGATTCCAGGTTCCTCCTAATGAGGAACACCTTGGTTTCTGCTACAATCTCTGCTTTTTCTCATAGTAGCTTCATCTGGTCTGTTCCTGTTTGGCTGTGACTCCATCCTGGAGAGAAATAACTTAAATTGTATCCTTGTACTAGGTCAAATCAGTTGCCTGTAGTGTCCTTAAAGGTCCAGCAGGTGTCCGTATTCTGTGAGACAGTATCAACGCAGCATCAATACAGTTTGGCAATGAGTCAAAACGCTTCAAGATGTCTCATTAACCCATCACTAGTGTTTACCTGTGTTATCTTTGGGAGCTTGTTTAACCATAAATATACTATTGTTTGATCAATCAGTGTTTGATTCACTTTTAAGCCTTCCATTAAATCTTAAGATTAATCTCTTCCATGAATTACAATTTCATCATTCTTACATCACGACTTGAAAAAAAAAAGGATTAACAAGTTGTGCAACATCTTAATACTGTGTGCTGATTTAAGCATGAGCAGAACATTCTAGACTGATGTCAGAGCGCCGCATGCCAAAGGCTTGCTAGGTTTCTGTGAGAAAGCAGGGCGTGTCAGTGTCAAAGCAGACTCATTAAAGAAGGCATGTCCAAGCAGGGAGGAATCATAGGAACACACCAACAACACACCTTCTGTTTTGTAGTTAAAGTCGTAAACCTGGGTAGGTTCTTCAGATCCTCGACAGCATAGAAAGCTACTTAAGAGAAAACCAGAACTCTGACAGCTAAATGTTGACCTGCACAGGGGAACAGAAAGCAGCCTGAACTGGTGTGAGAGGAGAACGGTTGGAGAAAGACAGTTTGATGATGGTGAACATTAGAGCAAATACATCTGCTGCAGTTTGTGTAAAACTTGCTGGACATCCTCATAATACCAAACATACAGTAGCAGCCATTCAAAATGGCTCTTTCGGGTCAAACGCCAGCCGAATGGCTGCCCACTTCCCTACAACTCCCAACGAAATCCCCTGCAACTTCCAGGCACTGTAGTGACCCCCTCTTGCATAGTTTTTACTCTGACTCCACCCTTTCACTGAGTTACAGGCTCTGACCAGGAGATGGCGCTTCTCTTTAGAGCTTAATGTCCACAAATCAAGACAGAAAGAATATTGGGGACCAGCTAAGGGCCATTCAAGGACCAGCCAAGGGCCAGTCAAGGACCATCCAAGGACCAGCCAAGGGCCAGTCAAGGACCATCCAAGGACCAGCCAAGGACCAGTCAATGACCAGCCAAGGGCCAGTCAAGGACCATCCAAGGACCAGCCAAGGGCCAGTCAAGAACCATCCAAGGACCAGCCAAGGACCAGTCAATGACCAGCCAAGGGCCAGTCAAGGACCAGTCAAGGGCCAGCCAAGGACCAGCCA